AATTTGTGGAAAGAGTTAATAAAGTTCAAGTTTGTAACCACAAAAATGTCTGGATACTAAATAGACAATAAGCAAATGGATGAATTAAGAGACGCAATGGAGTAAATAATGGGGCGGATCAAGGCATAACTGTTTCGGCTGCTGAAAAACTACAAAAAAGTACAATTTTCAAAAATATACTTTACGGGGAAGTACGCTCTTCGCAATATGCAGTATATTGGGCACAAAATGCTCCCAGCACAACCGGACAATGTGGTATCCAGTTCTAAAAAGCTGGGCGGTCTCCGAGCTCACGGCAGCATGTACAAGACCTGAATGTAGTAAACGGTTTAATTACCAGAGCCACGAGGCGCCGACCGGGAGTGATGAACCTAACTATATTTGATCGCCGAGTTTTTATAATTTGCTCAGGTTAATTATGCAAATATGCAAACATCTAGAAATTCATTGTTGCTGGATCGAGCGATTAATGCGAGATCTTCAGTTTCCTCAAAAGCGGACGGGTATTGTCCGTAAACCATGGTATTGACCGGCATAAGCGTATAATCCTCCCGGCACCGGCACGTACGCAGCGCTAGAAGCCAAGTAATCACGACTTTAGAGCGGACGGAACATACCGGTGTGCAGTCTCACGGGCAGTCAAACACAGCAGATCAGCTCACTAATCTGACAGTGCTTTGCGTTTTCAGGAAACTCCACCATTTGCGTCTTGTGGAGATACTCGTGTGCAGATCCAGGGCCGACCGACCGTCAAGGACTCTGGCCAATAAACGTTAGTTGCACAGAATATACGCTCTCCGAAGATGCCCTTCACACTCTCCTTTTAAGCAGGACTACGTCCTGATAATTTTTGTGGTTACCCGAGCCGCCAAAGGCCAAGTAACAAGTTCCCTGCGTTAAGGCAGAAGAAACCTGAAAAGTTCGCCGGTAAAGTAATGCAAGTATGCATTTCGTTCACTTCGTCAAAGTAGGCAGTTGACAATCTATTTCCCTTTTGCACATTGGCTATGGTTAGAATTCGACATGGAAGACGCTACTCCAACGCTTCTGTATACACAGTCTCACCGCCAACAGGCGACATGGCGAATCAGACATATTTGCAACCAGCTATAGACTTTTTGAGGCGGCGAGGGTTTCCCTGCAGGACTGAACAAAACAGATGAATGGAGCGAATTAATATCGGACAATAAACAAAAAAACGAACACCATTACCTCGCGGGTCGGAACTGCTTGAAAGTGTACCCTGCATGGAGGACCCGCTGAAACGCAGCGAGTGTCGACGGGCTCAGGGGCTGATCACCCTCATCAGTATTGCTGTTGTCATGGTTATCTCCATGAGATTCGATGCGAGCGGAGATGTGTTGACGTACCTCCTCGGCAAGTGTGGCTTTAGAGGGGAAGACACAAGAGATGAAGTCTCCATCGGGCAGTCTGAGTTGGAGACGAACCTACATTATGTACAAATTGAAAAAATAATAATTAAAAAACAAATGAACAAAACTGTATGAAAATTCTTGCATCCGATGCAGGAGGAAAGAATAATCAACCCGCCTAAATGGCGGAAGGAAGCACAACAAGGATTTACGAGCTAGATGGGCAGTCGGTCAGATGCATTGACGACGAACTTAATGGGTTTTAAGGCCTTCAGCGGATCCAAAAAATATACATATCTTCTATATCCATCGCAACCTTGACGAAAAGCCGAAAAGATAAGTTTGAAGAGTAATTTGCTGATATATTGTACTTCTATACTAGAAGCTATCTGCCAATCCTGTTGCCCTAGTTCATGCTCTGGCGCAGGGGCAGTCACCAAAACACCCCATAGTAGGATATTTATACTGCCCCCGAACTATCTTCCTATAAAGTACCTTGTAATACACTAAGAGGCATACAGGGCAAATATGACTTTTCATATCTTTATGAACACTATATTCCCACTCCCACTTATGCGTCCTGTACTACCATTCCGATGTTACAGGAATCACTTTGTCATAGTTCAAGGCGGTGGGGGTACATGACAATCGTCAATCCAAAATAGCTAGCCAGGAACCAAACACAGTGAAGTGATTGTGTCTCTCTACGTAATTTCGGTCTTCAAGATTACATGAAGTTTCTCAGACCATTCGTGGTAGGAGAATAGTCGTAAAGGACATGATAGTCGCTAAATTGATCAGGAATACCGTTACCCGAGGAAACAGTGCAGAATGCCGAATGAATTGGATTGTGGATGGGGACTCACCCACCATGACTATGCAGCTAGAGCCACGCGCAAGTCACAGTCCCTGAGATCACCTTGCTGTACAGCACAATGTGGAACTCGCCATTATGCCCTAGCCTGCGATCAGATACGACAGACAGCCCTATATCAGGCCGATGTCCAGTAACTAGAAGAGATAGAGGCGAACTGGTTTACCTTAGTTTTGTCAGCAGTGTATGAGGTAGAAGACCGTGGAGGGGTAACCTTCGGGGCAGCAACTGGCTCCGATGACAGCCGCTGTGCGCGTTCACGACGATCCAATTCAATCTGACGGAGGATTTGCTCGCGTACAGCCTTGTCTTCGGCCTGCTCGCGTTTGCGCGCTTCTAATTGCTCCTTAATTGCTTGTTCGCGTTGGCGTTCCTGGAATAAGCAGGGAGAAAGATGAAAGATGAGGAGAAAATTAAGAAAATACACGTTATTTTGAAGGCCGCTATTATTGGAGCCTTTTGAAGAATAATTACACGTGCGAGTGGGCGTAGCGACGTAGCCGATAGTTCGATCGTCGAT